ATGATATTTTTATGGAGTCAGGGTAATGCACTTGAAATTCGTTGTCCTGTGAACTTGTACTTTCTGAGGCTATTTGGTATTCATCTGCCATGTCTGCAGTCCAGTTTCATTGATACTTTCTGGTTTACGTCTCAGGAGTTGTTCGAGGGCTATTACTTTTGTCAAGCACAAAAGGAGGAGTTCTTTCATCGAGCAAAACCATATCTGGGGCATCCAACCATTGTCAGGTGAGAATTCTGATTGCTTCCGGAGTCTTATTGCAGGGTTCATTAGCGTAAATGTCAAGATTCCAATAACAACTTGACTTTTCCTTTTTCTATGTGCATGTTCTTAGGATGCAGAATCTTGCGAAGGAGCTTGGAGTAGTTATCCCAGTTAGTTTCTTTGAAGAGGCAAATAATGCGCATTACAATTCTGTGGCTATAATTGATGCTGATGGCACAGATCTTGGACTTTACAGGAAGTCCCATATTCCTGATGGACCTGGTTAGTAAACTTGGAAGAACATTCCAAATTCATTGTGCTACTTGTCATTATTCTGTTAGATTTCCTTCAAGCACTTTCTCTAATACTCCTTTTTCATCCTCACAAGCTGTTTCTCTCTGCAGGTTATCAGGAAAAGTTTTACTTCAATCCCGGTGACACTGGTTTTAAGGTAACTAATACAAGAGACGAAGTCCTATTAACATATTGTGACAGTTATCTTTTCCTGCTTTCCCCTTTCCTAATGGATGTTATGGTGTTCATAAACAGGTGTTCCAGACTAAATATGCAAAAATTGGAGTTGGTAAGATATATATATTTTAATAATTGTTCTTTGGATTTCATTATGTTCTCTACCTTTGATGAACATTAGGATACGTAGGAGAATAATAAAAGTTGTGCTTCTGTGACAAAAAAAACTTAAATCTCCAAAAGTTACTTAGACAGGCTTCACTTTGTAATTTTTAATTTTAGTAAAGAGGACAAAGATTCTCTTGTTGTAAAATACAGTGAAGACAGAAAATACACTTGACATAGTATTGACTGTTATTAAATTCTGTCCAGCAATTTGCTGGGATCAGTGGTTTCCTGAGGCTGCTCGAGCTATGGCACTTCAAGGTGCAGAAGTATTGTTCTACCCTACTGCAATTGGTTCTGAACCTCAAGATGGTGGACTTGATTCTCGGGATCACTGGAGGAGGGTGATGCAAGGACACGCTGGTGCTAATGTGGTAAGTTTCTTTTTCTTTTTCTTCTTCTCTTTCATTTTGACTTTTTTTGTTAAGAAGATAAGTCAAAAAGGAAGTTTATGCTGACATGAAAGGGATATAGAGTAATGGGTTTCTTCTCCAGAAGTATAGTTCAATGGCTGACATTTCCGTATCCCATTTGGATTATATTTTGTTTAATCTTACACATGCACATGGACCTGTGCCGTTGTAATTAGCCAATTCTTAACATTGTAGGTGTCTGCTAAGAAAGTGAACTCATTTTTATTAGGGGTATGACAATTCAGACATTCCAGTTGTTGCCAAACTCAAATGTCAGTTTTCATTTTACAAGACCAAAATCAAGAAAATGATTTTTAAATTGCTGGTTTGGTTTGATTCACAATTGTTCAGTCAGAATTTAGACAACCTTAAATTTTATTGTGTTCAGGTACCTTTAGTGGCATCAAACCGCATTGGAAAGGAGATAATTGAGACAGAGCATGGGAATAGTGAGATAACATTCTACGGCTACTCTTTCATAGCAGGTAAGCTTGATAGAAAACTATAGCTTATAAATGAAAAACATCTACTGCCTTGTGTTTTAAGGAGGCTGTGAACCTGGTTTTAAAATGAACAGGGCCCACTGGAGAGTTGGTAGCAGCTGCTGGTGATAAAGAGGAAGCTGTTCTTGTAGCACAGTTTGATCTGGACAAAATCAAGTCCAAAAGGCATGGTTGGGGGGTGTATCGTGATCGACGTCCTGATTTATATAAGGTTCTTTTGACATTAGATGGCAGCAACCCAGTCAAGTGATTCAAGATGGCCAAGTACTGCAGATTTTTTTCTGCCTTTTTTTTTCAATCATAACAATAAAAAGATGAGGACTCAAATGAGAAATTTGTATTTGAGTTATGTTGTAATGTAACTCTTCAATTTCTGTAATCTGCCGCATTCTACATTTTATGTAATGAATGACAGAATTTGTGGAGTTTGAATCCCCAATGTTTCATCAGTAGCATCAATGTGCAAGTTTGATGGTTTTTTGTCACATTCAAGTAGCAGTAAGCATATTGATCACTGGGACCTTGATTTGTACTCATTTACATTGGTGTATGGCTGTTCTGGAAGATCCCATCTTAAAGAACCTTTTCCAGACATAAAGCTTGGGATGTCAATTTCTCAATATATCTCTGAAAAACACTGGAGCTATATCTGGTGGTCCACAAATATCTATCCTCTTATCACTTTCTTGATATTTAGAAAGGATAGTTGCATTTTCGGGTCTCTCAATCCTGTTCCAGAGCCATTTGTTGCCAGAAGGTACGTATCAATGTGCTTTACCACATATTTTATGCTTCTACTGATATCGTGATGTTACCTCACAAAGGTAGGGGTGAGGTCTGCATACATCCTTACCCTCGCCAAACCCCACTTGGGACTTGTGGGATTACAATGGGTATGTTGTTATACTAAGATAATGATGTTAGTTTTCTTTGCCTTATATTCAGTTACATTCAGTTTAGAATTTCCCCTTCTGTCAATAAATTTATTTACCTTATCAGAAAAAAAAAGCTTGGAACTATTTCTCGGGGAATAAATGATCCAATTGCTACAGCCACTCGAAAACACCCGTGGCCACAAATAATCTGCATAGTAACAAAGCATCTATAATTTGATGAAAGATTATTTCTGTGTAGGAGTTTGGTTTTACTTTTCAGAGAACTTTAGATAATTTGTTGTGCCTTTTTCATAGAAATGCATGCATATTATTTAGATCATAAGATTCTCCATCAATTGAATGAGAGCATCTCAGTGAAAGCATCTATAATTTTAGTGCTAAGGATGCCTTTTTCTTACTAACCCTTTTATCTGTAAAAGAACCTGTTTCTCAGCCAAACAAATGTTTCTGTAAGTTGTAACAGGTCCTCTTTGTGGGTTGCCCTTTTAGTGATGATTCTATTCTATCTTTGTTTTTATTGATTTTAAAAAAATGGACCCTGGCCTAACTCAAGTCTAAAAGCTAGTTCGAGAGGTGAGGACTGTCCAAAAACCATACAAAGAAACAAATGATCTTTACATGCCCAATACTGGACAATCCCTCTTCCCCCTCTTCCTTGCACATCACGTCCACGACTGGACATCTCTAGTATTGATAATATAAGAGCTCCCTTTCCCTACACACTCAAGGACTGGATACCCCCCTCCCTTCCCCTTCCCCTTCCCCTTCCCGCTCGCCCGCCCGCCCGCCTCATAGGACCAGGTAGTGTGGCTAATATAAGATAGGAGCTCAACATTTGGTAAATCATGAATGAGCTTAGCTTCGATATCAAAATGGACCTCGAGCCTAATTCAAGCCAAAAGCTTAACTCAAGAGGTGAGGATTCTCCTAAATCATAAAAGGTGAAATGATTCAAGCCCTAAGTTAGCACAGAACAATTATCTTTTCTCATCTAAAATTCCATATACCAGTTCTTTGCTTGAAAAGGGGCATATCATTATTGTACAGAATCTTATCAGAGGGAAAGTTTATCTGTTTGTTATACTCATGTGTATGTGTTTGAAACTGGAAATGTGATGATGCTTCTCCATTTTTACATTGTGATGATGAGATAAACTGATATTTTTGTTTGGTGAACTCACATGGAGCTCTTTTTTTAATATAGTGTCTCTTCTATTTGCCCCAAGGACACAAGTTACTTTGAGGATGTCTAACTTGTGGTCCAGACTGTTACATGTGTCTATTTGAAATTAGAATATAGGTGTCTTCTACTTTAGGTCATTTTCATATACTTAAGGCTGGAAAAAAGTTGGAAGGATAGATCTTTTGCAATCTATCATCATCTAAACATAGGATTAATGTGTCTTTGAACTACCTTCCTTGTCCTATCTCACCAGACCCCTCCCCCCCCCCCCCCCCCCCCCCCCCCCCCTCCAATCCTATCATCATCTAAACATAGGATTACTGGGCAGAGTATACACAGACCTTACCTACATCTCTTCCCCACTCACAAGTTTTTTGAGAGTTCAAGTTCTATACACGGGTAGTGTAAAAAATATTTATAAAATCACGCTACTTGAGAAGTAGCTACATGTAATTTTTTACAGTGAGTTTAAGTTGTATACAGTGATAAGTGTAAAAAAAGGTTTATACTATCAGTTCAATTCTAACCTGTTATAGTAGGTCATTCTCTATTTCTTAAGTCACCATATCAAACTTACTAAGAAGAGTTATCTATATTGTTGTAGGTTAATTGAGCTTGATTGTATAAATAGTTTAAAACTATCATAATGCAAAACCTTTTCTTTTTTTTTGAGAGACGGTGAAGTCTAGGTCAATTTGCAGGCACCTCAGTCAGATGGGAAGAAATCACTTATGTTTGTTTTGTTTCCATTTGAATTTGAACTTAGAAATTCATGGTTCTCTTCCTACATCACTAACCACCTGATCATTGATAAACTCGAAAAATATAGTAAAATTACTTGCTATAACAAGTTAAGTTACATTAATGGTGGTTAAGGGATTGGATTTTTCTAGGTCTAGACGTCTAGTGGACCAAAATACTATGTTTATACATAATCAGCAATTTGGTTAGGTGTGGGAGCACTTTACCCCACAATGTGGAGCTTCCGGCATATATCTCGATTTAGTCGGACCCTAATACGGATACAGAATACTGAGTAGGAGATTAAAAAAAAATGGACACACAAAAATCTGAAGTAAAATACAATGAAATATTGGAATTAAGAATTCCGTTTGCAGTTTTTCTTTATTTGCAGATTTTGCAGATAAAAGAAAGAAAGGGAAAAAAAAAAGCAGAGCTTTGAAACATCATCTTGCAGCTTCCTGCAACGTTGGAATATAGAAAGACACAAGAAAACCAAAACAGAAAGGAAAAAGAAATAACTATGAAACAAAAACAGCATGTTTTGATGATGTTTATCTCCTATACATGCTTATTATCATGTCCTTCTTCAACATTATTTCCATCATTATTATCACCATCATCATCTTCGTTTTCATCTTCATCATCTTCATCTTCGTCTACAATCTCATCATCGGATTGAATAACGTGCATCATCAAGCGTCCATCTTCTCTGCATGCATGTAGAAATTCCTGAGTGGGAATTCGAATTTCTTTTAGTATAAACCTTCCATCTTCCCTGAATGATTTGAAGCAAACCCATGGCTTCCCACTTCTTCCTATGCAAGAAATGGGAGGTGGAAATGATGACCTCTTTTTCGTTCTTGATCTCTTAGAATTATAATCTTGATTGAAAAACACTCGATTCTCTAGCCTGCAAGATATCCGCGTCCTCCTACCTTGTTGTTTTTGTTCTTGTTCTTGTTCTTGTTCTTGTTGATGATGATGATGATTATGAGGAAGATCTTCATTTCCCAAATCTTTCATTAGATCCTCAATATCATCAGAGCTCTCGAATCCAAGTCCTTCTGTGCACATCGATAAGCTATCTGATGTTCTTGATGACAAGCTCTCACTATGCCTGTCCTGTTTACTCTTGTTGCTTGTAATTGGAGAGTAACTTGACACAGGACTCTTGTTATATCTTTCATACTTGTCCTTATTATTGTCAAGCCCTTCAATTTCAGATTGATGAATTGCATCAAGGAAAAACGACGAAGAAGTAGAAGAAAACGATGATGATGCAGATGACAAAGGTAGACAAGAAGAAAAAGAAGATGAAGATGAACCAACAGACGAAGACGAAAAGGAGGAGGATGTAGACAAGGTAACAGAGTTGTTTTCTTTGAAATGTAATTCGCCGAAAATCTCAGTAAATGAAGAGTCATCTATAGGTTTCAATGATTTAGACTGATTCCATGAAGATGAAATGGATTCAATCAGTGATGGATTTTCAGGTAATGGCTTCTCAAATATATGTTGTAAACTTCCACAAGCAGCAGACATTTGGTGTTTTTTTTTTCTACTTTTTCTTTGCTCTTTTGTTGGTTGGCACAAAGACCAACAAATGAATTGAACAATGCTAGTGAAATTGCTGTTTTGTAGGAGTACCTTTCTCTTAACTTTAAAGGATGGGTGGTTATAAATGTTTCTGTTTATTTAATGGTCTCAATTTTGTGTCCAAAAAAACTGTGAAAAAGAAAAAAAATCTGTGTCTCTTTCTCTCTCCTTTATTTTTTATTAGTAACCATTGATATAGTAATGTATATATAACATATGATTTCAACTACTTTTTACGCGTTTGGAATATACTACAAGTCTAACAAGACTAGAGACTGAGAATGATAAATTTGTATCAAGGGTGTTTTTGGTATGAATGGACAATATTTTTTCCAAGTGGTTTTCTTACTTATTTATTGGTGTTTCGGTAAGTAAATAAAAAATATTGTATCGAAGTATGAATGTATAGTCTAGGCAAAGGGATAGGGTGGGGAGGAGATAATTAGTATTGAATGTTATTTATGAAACTTGTTTTTTCTATTTTTATTGGGAAAGTTATTTCCTTTTTTTTTTTAAGGAACTTGCTTTTTCTATACTATATTTTCAGAAATTTTGGCCAGTAAAACATGGGAAAATTGAAATACATTTTCTAGACCTTTGTACCAAATACACCATAACTCTAATATTTGTAACTTCAATGACGCATCTGAAAATATGGTCTAGTGGTCAATAAATTAGGTGCAAATCTTAGAGATGCGGTTCAAGAGGTGACAAAAAAATATTAGGTGATTTCTTCTCATTTACCCAAGTTTTGGTGGGTTAGAAGTTAATGGTAATTGCACTAGTGAGAGGTAGCAAGTCCTCGGTCTAGGTGCGCCAAATAGTCGATAGAATATTGAGATACACACAAGCTGGCTAGAAAGCTACTATTATCAATATTAAAAAAAAAAAAAACTAATACTTTTAACAACTACGCTTTAATCTCAAGTAAATTTGGAATCTACTGTACGATCTAGTGGTCAATAACTTTGGTGCAAATCTTAGAGATAGGGTTCTAGAGGTGACAAAAAAAAAGTACTAGGTGATTTCTTCTCAATAACCTAAGTTTTGGTGGGCTAGAGTTACATGGTACTTGCACTAGTTAGAGGTAGCAAGTCCTCGGTAAAGTAGTCGAGGTGCACCAAATAGTCAGTAGAATATCAAGATACACGCAAGCGGGCTAGAAAGCTACTATTACCAATAAAAAAAAAAACTACTAATACTTTTAAAAACTACGCCTTAATTTCAAGTAAATTTGGAATCAACTGTATGATCCTCACTGTCCATATCGTTCCATTTGAGTAAATCTCAAAGTTCTCTATATTTTCTACTATCATATAAATCATATTGGACCTAAAAGTAAACACACTAATTTATTTGTTTACAAGATACATCAAATGAGAAAAATCAAGTGGTCTCTACTATGGCTCAGGACGCCACTTACATATATATGCAAGACAGCACTAAAAAAAGCTCAGGACCTCAGCAACTTGAAGTAGTGATCCATAAGTAACTTTGATGTGATTGTTGAAAGGTTATACACCTATAACTAGCACATCCTGTGTTTGATTTCTTACTTGATTGGCAAAAATACTGGATTTCAAGTTACATCCTAAACTAGTACTTACATACTTCACATTCAACTAGCTGAGTATATTCCCAGTGGATCCAATGTGAGGCAACTACAATAGTGCCATAAAAGTACTGGTCCCAACTTCCAACCAACACAATGACTTTTCCCTTTTGTTAAGGGTGTTTTTCGTCGATCAGATTTTGCTAATATGAGAAAGTTATAGCATCCGAATTTCAGAAATGTTATCTTGGTTTGTGGTCCTGGAAGCATCAACATTTCTAACATGCATACCAAAGACAACTCATCACAAGAAAAGTAAAAGGAGTGATCCTCCGCACAGATTAGACAATGAGGTATGCAAGGAAATAGACATCCACATTGTGCAAGTGAAGATCAAATCATATTCGCGTTCTAGTTTTTAGAAAAGCAGAAAGTATAATGTACACATCAAACCGTAACCAGTGAAACAAATCAACCACAGTGTAAACTAGATCAACATACATGAACTATTAGCATTCACATTTTTTATCACAACCAAACAGAAACTGTTACCATCTTAGTCAGCACAGAAAGCTGCTCAGTTCAGCTCTATTCACCGCCAAGCTTCAGTCCTCTCTATCATTGAATTTATACGGATCAAGTTGCTTATTCCTTTTGATTTACTGTCATTTCCCAGAGACTGAACCGCGGTTGACTCTAAATCAAGTTTCAGAACATCCTTTGTCTGATTAGAATCACTCGATTGGCCTATCCTTTGTGTGTCCTCTTCAAGATTTGGAGTTCTCGTCACACAGGCTTTTCTTGCCTTCGTATTAACATGGATAGGAGTTTCACAAGATACACTGTCATCGGATTCCTCTGAAGAAGTTGCATAACTAAGATATTCATCATCAGTGATGTTATCTACTCTATTAGATTCAGAAGCACTGGCTGAATCAGGTTCTTCAACAGTGAACGCCTGCTCAGTCAGTTCGTTTGATTCATTGGAGTTCTCCAGAGAGAATTGTGGTGGACTTTGATGACCATACTCATCAGGTCGATCAAGGTTAGAAACAGAATCTGGTTCAACAAGGGAATCTTCTCTATCTTTTAAAGTTTTTTCGATGAGTGTCCTCAAGAAATTCATTACTTGAACAGCATACATCAGTGCAGTCAATGGATCTGCCATCTGCAAGGAAGAAGCTAAAAATTACTTATTATACTGATCCAGCCATTAGCGGGGTATAGGTTGCCAGATATCCACAGAATCAGAACAGTTTATGGAAGGCAGATTTCAACTCATTCTCTATTTGTTTTTTTGCAATAAAATCTCAGCTTATGGATGGCAAATTGCCCCATGGATGTTTTACAAGAGTATTGAGGAGGGAACCCCCTCCTCCTCCCTTTGTTAGTTATAATTTTGCTATTTTGTACCTTCCTTTATTTTTTCTTTTTCGGATGGGGAGTTGATGGTTTACTAAATAAAATTATGTCGACTACCAAGAGAAAATGCAAACAATTTATCTGAGAGACCAGTAGCCCACCTGTGTCATATTAGGAGCAAACACCATTGCGACATTGCGCGAATTCATCTTGTTCAGGTGTTCCTCCAGGACAACATCAGCCATGAGATTGAGAGCCCAATCCAGCAGAGCAGCTTCTGTCTGTGGCAGAAGTCTCACAAGTGCAGTACAGTCTTCTTCTGACTGGCATTGCATGACCTGCTCAGGAGAAAGGGTATCCAACACCCCACTTGGGAGTTCCCTGAACCAAGCCTGTTAAGTTACATGATGTCAGATCAAGGATAAGCAAAATAAAAAGAGAGAAAGATCTAATAGAAGAAACATCCAAATCATGGCAATGATGAAGCAAGCACTCTAACACCATAGAAACCATGAAACGTAACTGCAACATTTACAGCAGAACATCACAGGACATTTCTTCACAGAATAACCATAAACGTCAAGGACATAAAAGGAAGTTCTAATGGCAAGCCTGTGATACCACAGTCACTTTAGTGAGAGAAACTTGCAACACCATCATAAGGTGAAATCATGTCCACCTTTTACTAATTAGGGGCATATTAAGAATTACAAGTGTATAAATGTTTGCCTTCACTAATCCATCACATGATCAAGCAGCCAATTGGTAAAATATGAATAGCTAATAAAAAGCTAAGATTTTTTTTTATAAGCGGAGAAAAGGAATGACATTTTTATAAATTGACGCAATCCACTTTGGCCTCAATTTTTCCTTCTCACTGAATATTTCTTTTATAGAACTCCAAAATATGATCCCTGATTATTTGTTGTCTTCCACTACTTTGGCCATAGGTTTCAAGGTTATTATTTTTTCTTCTCAGTGAACCTCTGGCAAGCGTAGGCAATTTTGTGGAAAAGCTAAGTTGTGTCAATCATCATCAACACAAGGCTTCAGAACAGAAATCTAAATCTCTATATATTCATCAATTCTAGGATATGATCAAAAGTCACATGCCTTGAGTTACCTGTGTATTGCCCCCCACAAATGGTCAAGAAAAGATCAGGATAGTATTTATAACCAACTTCACATTGACTATATCTCAGTACAAATAGCTCACCACCATTCTATTACAAAATCAAGAACAATGAGAAGCATGAGTTCCCCGCCTTGAGAGCTTTATATCACATGATCATATGTCTATGAATCTCTATATACAAATAAACCGAACTCTCAGTCTACTATGAGGTACGCCACAAAGGCTCACTATAAAAGTCTGCCAGCAAGACTAAGTAATGAGCTGAGTTAATAATAAGTGGGTCAATAACCGCTTATACCTAAGAGGATTAGAAGTGTCATGCTTTTATGAACTGATTTTGAAACCCCCCTCCCGGTTCTAGCCTACTCTCCATAGAATTACATGTGTATAATTGCCTTCATGTCTTCTGTTTTGGAGTGGGGGCATATTTAACAAATAAAATCCACATCAGGATCATCACTACTTTGCCAGGCGCGGATGTGCCTTATATGCAACAAGCAGTATACATTTATACTAGTCTCAACCATGATCAGCAGCATAATTTGAGCAAGGTCCCATATTATATGCTCTCAAATCGAAGTATTTCTTTTAATCATGAGTTTGTAATTTGTAGCACATAGCAGATTTACCAAAGCATGAATGATATCTTATGAAGTGAAATGAATGCCTACATCAACATTATTCAGTGTGCATACAAAGGATGAAATATACTGGAGAAGATTAATACAAAGAGTGTTGTTGAAGAGACATACCTTAATGAGACCTGCCAGACAATGTACATCAATGCCATCTGGAATTATTCCACGGTTTAATTGCTCCCTAACAAGCTCCTCCTCGCTGTTTTCAGCATTTATTCTGAAAATCCCCTCTGCCTGCTCACATAAAAAACAACTTGGATATAATAATGAATAATTATAAGTGACAGCACCTATCCTTGATTGTAAATGCAAGATTTAAAATATTCTAAAGACTGAGACAACACACAGTATGTACCTGTAGACCTCCTTGAGCATACAAACGCCTTTGCATTAGAAGTAGAATAGTTGGAACACTATTCCCACGGGAGTCAAATGACAATTGCATGGACTCCGTTGACACTCCAAATACAGTGGT